TAAAAGTAAGTTTTTGCAAACCTGTTTAGGGGCATGGGTTGGGGGGAACAGGGACTCTAATGAAGTCCAAATCCGACTAAAATCTAAAATTTAATAGGGATTGATGTTGTACCGTTTTGACAGTATATTAAAAGCACAATTTATTATATAAATTTATTAAAATATTTTTAATAAAATAATATAAAAATAATGTTATCAAAAATATTTTATTAAATTCATAACATATATTATACTTTTAATGTATAATCTATTTTATAAAATATTTTTTTACTAATTTAATAACTATTTATCTATCTAAAGATACAGGGCAAAAAGTAACTGTTAAATAATTATTATTATTATTATTTTTCATCTGAAAAATAATAAAATTAACTTTTATTTTAATTATAAATGTGTTATGTGTTAATTTTTTAATTATTTTTTAAATTAAAAATTAAAGCTTTTTTAACTTAAATTTAATATTTTGTAAATTATTATTATTATTTTTCATCTGAAAAATAATAAAATTAACTTTTATTTTAATTATAAATGTGTTATGTGTTAATTTTTTTATTATTTTTTAAATTAAAAATTAAAGCTTTTTTAACTTAAATTTAATATTTTGTAAAATAATATCATAATTAATATTTAATAATTATTTTTATCCGATACTTAGGGAACAAACTCATTCATTTTTTTTCTTTTGACATTGGAGGAAATTGAGAGAATGAGATAGTTACATGGGTTAAAACCCAAGATTTAAATGTTCAGGTAATATCCCTCACGAGATGACCAATAGACAACTTGGTGCCGGAGAACAAACTCATTCATTTAATAATGAAGTTGAAGCAAATTTAATAATTTGGTTGTGAGTTGGGCATCACTGTCTTTTTTTAATGCTCCTAATCCTAATCCCAACGGAAGAGAGTAGTAAGAAAGCAACATAACTTCCAAGAATATTATTGGCTGCTTAGAAGAATTTTCCAGTGATTTTTGTGACTCTTTGCTATATATTTCTATAGGATTTATTGTTTTTGATGTGAAAGTTTGAAACTGATCTAAATGCAGTTTTCTAAAATGAATTTCAAGCGCTAGATTGATTTGTTAATGTGAATCACATCTATTTAAGTTTATAATTTTAAAAAATATATTACATAATTTAAATTTTATTAAATTTAAATCTCATTAAATAAAAACTAACTTTTTTTTTTAAATAGGTTTATAATTTTGGTGGTGAAAAGGTTTGAATCCAACCATCGAGTTGAAAGATGCAGCTTACATATTAACTTTTATTTTTTTTATATAATCATCCGATATCTAGAAACCCATTGAACCACTGACTAATCTGGATTCGAACCAGATAAGATCCAATGAATGGTAAAACTCTCTCTCATGAGTTTTAACGGAACTTATATATTAACTTGTGGTCGTTGCATCGTGAGGATAAATGGAAACAAAAACTAACTTTTTAATATTTTTTATTTAATAATTTATATTTTATAATACAATTCAGTCCTAAAATAAAATATTTTTATAATGTAATATTTCTTCCAAAAAAATTACTGAAACAAAGCTTGTACTAAAAATTTAAAGTGAGATAAAGGCAACTCAAGTTTGGTGGAGAAATTATTGGCGCATGTGTTACTCATAATCACATACCCTACATAATTTTATTATCATGTGGAAAAAAACAGATGATTGACATGTTTTCTGGGGACCAACAAAAACGTAAGACAGACAATTGCCTTGTTTGAAAATTCCAACCAATTCTTATCTTAAACTCTTAAATTTATTTTTGATTTTTAATTAAATTTTTAAATTTTATTATTACAAAATAAATCATTTTTAAAATTTTGTGACTTAAAAAATTTAACTTTTTTTATGATAAATTTAACATTTATTTATGTGTTATTTTATATAAATATAATATTAATATATCATTACTTACTTACATGATAAGTATAGACTTTATTTATATAAGTAAAACATGAATATATATTAAATTTATAAATAAAATAAAATAAAATAACTTAAATCAATAAATTTTTTAAAAAAATATATTTTCATAAAAATATAAAAATTAAATTAAAAATTTTAAATAAATTCAGAAACTATTATGGTTTTGCAAATTTTGAAAGTAGGAGCCTTCGAGTTTTAACGCGGGAGGGCAGAAGTGGGAACTCAATTCTTCGTCCAAAAAGGACCAAAATGGTGAAGAGAACGTCGTCTTGGTTTGCTTCAAGAACCACGAAGCATGCGGTGTAATGATTTTGGATTTGAACCAATGCCAACGGAAGTGCCTCTCGTCCTAAAAGACTAAACGTTTATGGAACGCATTGTGTGCCTCCATCTCACAATACTCTTATTCCAACGCATGAGTATTTGCCACAACCATACGCTTGTGACACAGGCGTATTTCTCCTCTCTTACTAGGAAGGGTATACGCCCCAATCTCCCAACTATAGATTTGTGTCCAATTCCACCAAGGAAACACTATTTTGAATCTCTCTTCTAAATTGATTAACTTTTCTTACACATTCTTATAGATTATAGCTTTTTCTGAGGTATCATTTTGGTAGTGATAGGCATTAGAAGTTTAAAATTTTTTCACAATGGAAGTAGAGATGGTTATCAGGTGAGTCCAATCTAATCAACTCCAAAGTAAGATTGGTTAAACAAAATTGTTACCACTTAAATCGATTTAGTCCTAAATTAGCATTTGGAACTAATATTTAGACCAGACCAGCCCAATATTAGGCTGTTCCAATGCCAGCATTTTGGCTTGGAATTTTAAGACAGAAAACTCCCTAAAGATAATTTGTCACACTCCTAAGCATGAGTCTAATTAAAAAGGTTTTCTTAGAAAAGATCCACTAGAAAATTCACAGGATCATTCCACCTAAACTTCTTTTTTTTTTTTTCGTACAAAGGGAATTAGAGGCAAGAGGAACAAGAAATGAGGATAAAAAAGTTTGAATTTAATAGTGTAAGTGAAAAACTCATGTAGTAATCACACGAATCACATATTAGGTTTCATTTTATTTAATTTGGGTATGTAAAAACCTAATTTGAGAGTTAAAAGCACTCAACCGTAGGTAAAAACACTTGAATCTTGTAAAGAAAAAGAAAAATAAAGACCTGAATCAGGAGCATTAAGCCTCATTTCCTTGTGTGATGATAACCCCAACTAAATCCATTCCACTCCTCATTGAATAGAGACCTAAAAACCAGTTGGGTTTGTGTGTGTTTCTGTTTAATGTGGTCTGGTTCTCGTCCAGCCCAATTCACAAAGTTCAGTCCACTGCCTGAACTGAAAGTAAAAACCCTTCTTCTCGTTGAAAATTACGGCCACGAGGCAAACAGAAATGTTGACGCTGAAGGAGATCCTTACACAGCAGCCGGTGGTAGCCACGATCCATCTGACAGTTCCAGCAGGTGGCGCTCGGCCTACACCGTCGATGGGTCCAACACTGGGTTAGTACGGACTGAACTTGATGGCCTTTTGCAAAGACTTCAACGCTTGAACCCAAAAGTACAAGCCCAATACGCCCATGGCCGTCACCATAACCACCTTCAAGCTCACCGTGAAGTCTCCCTTTGTCACGTGGTACCTCAAGAAGGCCTTTGGGATCGAGTCCGGAAGTAGCCACCCTAGTCACATGGTCTGCTCCACCTTGTTCGTCAAACACTTCTACGAGATTGTGAAGATCAAGCAATCGGATCCTTACTGCTAGCATATGTCATTGGAGGGCATTTCTAAGTCCATTATTGGGACTGCAAAGGCTATTGGGATTGAAGTTGTGAAGGATTTGGAATGGTTTAGTCATCTGTTCTTTAGTGGGAGTCTTGCCTGTTAGGTGTTCGACAAAATGTCTGTGTGGGAAGCTCTTTCTTATCTTTAAT